CTGTCGCTTGTAGGTTGGAGGCCGCCGCTAGTAGGTTGGAGGCCTTCGGTTGGAGGCCATCGCTAGTAGGTTGGAGGCTGTCGCTATAGCAGGTTGGAGGCTGTCGCTAGTAGGTTGGAGGTAAGCCGACGTGGAAGGCACCATGGGGCACCGGACACCGAGGCAAGCCGACGTCGGAAAGATGCGGAGGCACAAGAGGTCGCACAGCTGGAGCACGCCATGGCACAGCAGGTGTGCGGTTCCAGTGGGTCACGCTGGGTCTCGGTCCCTCTCGGTCCCTCCCGGTCGGCGGTCCAGACCGGTGATTGTCGATTTGCCAAGCTGAGAAGCTGTCCTTACTGTGGATGGAAACGTCAGGAGACAGAACTGAGTGCACCTGTCCTCATTCAACTTGGACACATCCTGTTTGATCCTCTTTTTAATGAGAGACATTATTCCCCAAGCCGAGGCTGCCGATGCTAAGCGGCAACAAGAACTAGCAGAAGAGCAGCGAAGGAAGAAGCAGCAGGACATGGCAGGGGCACAAGAGTTTCCTCAATGGCAATTTTAACATTTTGACCAGATCTGGAAGCTCACAGAGGCTTCTAGGAGCTTGCCACTGGTTGCTGTGAGGAGATGGCGAAGCAAATGGCCGACGCTGCAAAGGAAGCGGCGGAGCAAAAGGCCCAGCCCAAACGGCACCAACGACTGCTGTTGGCTCGGCGGTCGTCCGGTCAGGTTCTACGCAAGCAAGAGGAGGCTGAAAAGGACAGCATGAGTCGCATGAGCTGGCTGCATAAGAAATCACAAGAACGTTTTGACGTGAATTGCTGGTCATATAAGGACATTGCAATGATGAAAGCGCAGATTGCATGACACTCAGAGGATCCCAGATGTGGTTACTTCTTTTCATGGCACAGTTTGAGCAGTTCAACTTCCACCCTTGGCAGCCATGCAGCGCTCTAGGCAGCAATTTATGCCATCTCATACCTGGCCATCATTTGCATCCCAAAGACGGGCAAAAGTACCATGAAGCGCTCTTCTTCCCAGAAACTGTGCATTTGCTTGATCTTGCTTGTGCGTCGTGCGTGCCTGTTTTGGTTTAGCCATTTGAATGAACGTGTGCAGCGTGCGACACGTGTACTTTGGCCAACCTTCACTCCAGCCAGTGTTCGCATACTCCATCATCGATCCAACCATCTAGGAGTACTGGCTTCCTAGACTCTGGTTCCTGTTGAAACGCTCCAGGCCGTGATGGAAGCGCAGGAGCAGCAGCGTGGGAAACTCAGAGCGGGGAACAGACTGACCAAGCGTTGACAAGACCAGCACATATTGTCTTTTGGAAGACCTCAGGAACTGTGAAACCGTGTGAAAGTGACACAGTGAGCGCTGGATGGACTTACGGACCTGCAACTCATTTGGCCAACTTTGCAAAGGCGCTCAATCTTTTCAAAGAATGAAGGAGAAGCAGGCGCTGTGCTCTTACACTGTAAACATCAACAATGCTAGTGAAAGTGAATGTTCGGAGTGCTTGGCCAACACCGCCCTAGCCGCCCCACGGGTGCGACCGGTGCTTCGTCCAGGGGAAGGCGCAAGCGCAATACGAGGCCCGTTGTGCCAAGACTGGCTGCCTTTGGAAGAATAGGGACCACAGTAATATTGCGACCGCGAAGAAGACGCGGTGTGATTTGCTTCAAGTGCTTGTCTTGAGTCTTGGCTGCGGGAAATGCGGGAAAGGCCGAGACGAGGCCCGTCCATCCAGACCCACACCTGCGTCCCTGTCCCGGTTTCTGAGGCCAAGGCCGGCAGCGAGCAGGCGAGGCTCCAGAAGGAGGACGGCTCGACGCGTCGATCGACCGAGTGGGCCGTGTGGGTTTCCTTCAGAACTAAACTGAAACTGGTAACATCTATTAGTAACAAGGCAGAAGGTGACAAGATGATGAGATGAGAAAATGGCGAGAAGACTTGATGTCCATGTTGGTTATTGTGTTGTATGTTGTCTCGTGGCCATCTTTCGGTTTTAAGCCATGGGTTGCAACAGAGGTGTCAAGCAATATGAAAAGCATGAAAGGCCAACATTCACTGACTACCTGGAGACCATGACCTACCTTATGCTCGACTTGCAAGACATCATGAACACCTTGTTTAGTACTTGTTTCTGGCAGTCAGAGAGTGTGTGAGTGTCTTGGTTTTGTTAATTTCAGCTATGTCGGCAGTGGCGTTTGCTGCAGCGCGGGGAGTGCACCCTGTCCACGTCAAGCCCAATCAGCTGAACCCATCCTGTCGCGTGGCCTCTCCCAGTCACTTCGGTCAGGGGAAGATCTCGCATACAGTTTTCGTAGCGGCACCTTGGCGTTATTGGTGTTCACCCGTGTTCAACTGTGGTTTTGGGAAGGATTCCCAATCAAGATACACCCAGTTCTTCCTTCTTGTGAGTGGCAGCACACGTTAGTTATGTACTGTAATCTAATATATTATAACTTTATAAACAAATAAATAAATACATACTAATATATAATATAAATAAAGCACACACACAATTATATATGAATAATGCAAACATGGATGTTGCACAGACATTTGAAGAGTATATCACCAAGACTAGGATAGGATTAGGATCACTCTGAGCATTGCTGCCTTTTGAGTTCCAAATGAGGCAACCTTCGTGCTCACGCGCACCAGAGGTGGACTTGCCCGTCGGGCCCAGCCCGAGCCCAAGGCTCCTCCCAAGACCAAGAAGGGCAAGTCGAAGCGGAAACCGGAGTTCGACGCCAGCAAGGAGAGCAGTAATGAGCGAGAGACATTTGGGATAAGATTCTGAAAACGACTGAACACGGATGCTTAGTATATTTGGCTTGGCACTTGACTGGTATGGGGATGTAGGTTTTGGGGTCAGGTTCTTGCCACAAGTGTAGAGGGAGATTGAAAGAAAATTCTTGGACAAGTGTCCCTGCCCAAAGAAGCTTCACCATTGGCATCAAAGTTTTTGTGGATAGGACCGGGTGAAGGGCAACAGCCAGCAAGCTACAACAGGTGTAGCAATCCCTTCGTTTCTGGTCGCAACATGCAAACTACAGAGTTTGTTAGTTTGTTTTCATGAAACACACAGCACAGTTTGTCAAACTCCCGTTTTACAATCCTTCACATTTGGCCTGCCTTCGTATCTGTGCCGAACTTGCCATTCTGAAGCACGAACGCAGCATGCTTTCACAGTGCCATGCAACATGCACCAAACTCGGTTTGGTTACATACGCTCACTATCGACATGAGCACTGGGGAGCTTCAACCACTGTAGAATGTCCCACTGGATACGGGGCATACACGTGACTTGTTGAAGGCTGGACACAAACTTGCTGTAGTGGAGGCTGGATACAAACCTGAGCTGGTTCAGGGTGCACACAGTGACTGATGCACAGGTTGGCGATGTGCACAGATGGTGGTGGTGGTGGCCGGAAGTGGAACGTTCCTGGAAAATTTAAATTCCCCAATAGCCATGCTGTGGGGTCTTGCAAAACTAATAGGCGGACGGGCGCCGTCGGGTCACCGTCAGAGCTGGTGGGCGGATGGTGTCCCGGTCATGTTTTGATGGCGTCCGGGTCATGTGATGCTGGTGTCCCGGTCATGTTTTGATGGTGTCCCGATCATATTTTGATTGTGACCCAGTCATGTTGTGATGGTGTCCTGGTCATGTTTTGAAGGTGTCCCGGTCATGTTGTGATGGTGTCCCGGTCATGTTGTGATGGTGTCCCGGTCATGTTTTGATGGTGTCCCGGTCATGTGATGGTGTCCCGGTCATGTTGTGATGGTGTCCCGGTCATGTTTTGATGGTGTCCCGGTCGTGTTGTGATGGTGTCCTGGTCATGTTTTGAAGGTGTCCCGGTCATGTTGTGATGGTGTCCCGGTCATGTTGTGATGGTGTCCCGGGCATGTTTTGATGGTGTCCCCCGGTCGTGTTTTGATGGTGTCCCGGTCATGTTGTGATGGTGTCCCGGTCGTGTTTTGATGGTGTCCCGGTCATGTTTTGATGGTGTCCCGGTCATGTGATGGTGTCCCGGTCATGTTGTGATGGTGTCCCGGTCCTGTTTTGATGGTGTCCCGGTCATGTTTTGATGGTGTCCCGGTCATGTTGTGATGGTGTCCCGGTCATGTTTTGATGGTGTCCCGGTCGTGTTGTGACGGTGTCCCGGTCATGTTTTGATGGTGTCCCGATCATGTGATGGTGGTGTCCCGGTCATGTTGTGATGGTGTCCCTGTCATGTTTTGATGGTGTCCCGGTCGTGTTGTGACGGTGTCCCGGTCATGTTTTGATGGTGTCCGGTCCTGTTGTGATGGTGTCCTGGTCATGTTTTGGCGGTGTGCCGGTTATGTTTTGATGGTGTCCGGGTCATGTGACGGTGTCCCGGTCATGTTGTGATAGTGTCCCGGTCATGTTGTGATGGTGTCCCCGTCATGTCATGCTGGTGTCCCGGTCACCTTGTGATGGTGTCCCGGTTATGTTGTGATGGTGTCCCAATCATGTTGTGACGGTGTCTCGGTCATGTTTTGATGGTGCCCTGGTCATTTTGTGATGGTGTCCTGGTTATGTGATGATGGTGTCCAAGGAAGAGATGGTCGATGTGTTGAAAACAGCAGCTGTTTCGAGATTTTTCTTTTTGTCCCGGTTTGTATCTTGCTATTGGGGTCTCCAGCTGGGCTAATTCTAGTTAAATTCTATTTACATCCTAATTATTTCCTAATTCTAATTTAAGTTCTAATACTAATTCTTGTAGCTTCTTGTTCGTAGTAGTACGGCCAGGAGCCCCTAGTAGCGATGCCCTTGCTCCTAGTAGTCGATGGGCTTCTTCGCCGCAGGAACTGGGTGTCACTGAGCCGATGGGCTTCTTCGATCCTCTCAGCTTTGCGCCCAAGGACCAAGAGACCTTCTTCGAGTATCGTGCCTGTGAAATCAAACACGGGCGGGTGGCGATGATGGCAGCACTGGGCGCGGTCACGCAGCACTTTGTGCGCTTGCCCGGATTTGAAAAGACCAATTGGGGAGAAGAGATGCCCTCAGGGATCAATGCAGCCTTTAATACTCCTGGCACCTTTGGCTTGGTGGTGCTCACTTTGATCGCCGGGGTCTTGGAGTTCACCTTGTGGTCGGAAGATCCCAAGAAGGAGCCCGGCAACTTCGGGGACCCTTTGGGCCTTGGCCAGTATACCGAGGAGCGGCGTGCCACCGAAGGTCTTTCGATGTTTAGAACTTCGAGTTCAAAGACTTGCACACCCAAATTCATGGGTTTGACGTGGTTTGACCATGGTTTGACCTGCAATGTTCATTGAAACACTTTCCAAAGCCTTCTTCAGGCAATCTATCAGAATGACAAAGAGACAAACACTATGAAACAATCACACTGTGTTGTCATTTTTCTTCTTTTTTTGTCTTTTGCATCCACTCCTTTTGTTTTTTGTTGCCTGACCCAGGACATGCGTAACCGGGAGCTGAACAACGGGCGCTTCGCCATGGTGGCCATCACGGGCATCGTGGTTGCAGAGCTGGTGACGGGGAAGGATGCCGTGCAGCAGCTGGGCCTCTGAGGAGACCGACCGGTTACCCGACCCAGTTTTTGCCACGAGAATCGACGGCCACGCGACGCGCGTTTGATCACGGATGGAGTTGGTGTTTGGGTGAAAAGAACGGTTTAGGTTTATATAGGAATGTTTAGGATAGTGCAGGAGGTGAGTGCAAAGGGAGAAGGAGACACAAGCTTTGCACTGCTTGTAGATGTGTAGAAGCACTGTTGACATTCCTCCGCAAGGAACCTCGCAGAAGCTCCTTGATGGAGGCGTGCGTGAGAGCCCTATCCATTGATTTATATAGCATGATTTGACTTGTAGAAGTTGCATGGAGTTTCTCTGGAATTCGCACAGCTCATCATAGACTACAATATTTTCTCGAACTTTCTGGACAGCGAAAACAGGGTCCGAGCTGCGCAAAGATGCCTTGACGACCTCTTGGCACTTCACAGTTGTTTGACTTGAGTGCTATGCCTCAACAGACTTCAACAGTTATTTTGTTTGTCCAGACAGATGGCAGGCTGTTGGTCAATACTTTTTAGTACGTGGTGTTACAGATTAACTTCTCTTTCCAAATCCCTAAAAACAAGTATACCTAAAACATCCTAAAACCCAATCTCAATGCACTACAGTTGCTTAACACATGAAACGACACAGAATGACCTGATCACTGATCTCAGCATCTGCACTTTCGACGTCATGGAGACCACCTTGCTGGCCAGCGGAGGTGCAGATCCACCTGATGCTTCCACCTGGGAGCGGAGTGCTGTGATCTACGTGGCCTTGATGCTTCTGGTGCTGATCTCCTTGCACGTCAGATGGGAATGTCGTAAGCAGATGAAATGGGAACAGATTTCTTGGGAGCATGTGGCAGAAGGAAGGGACAGGAGCAGAGTTCGAGCCCTAAGCGTCTTTCGGCTTTGCTGCTGTCTGGTGGTCTTGGCCAACGACGGCATCCTGATCTTCTTCACGCGAGAGATGCCTTTGCTGGGTGGACCCCCCGGCGTTCTTGAAGTTTTTGACACCCTTTTTGATGATCTCTTGCGATACACCATCGAAGCGTCGACTTCGCCAAAAGAAACGGTGTGCATGCATTACATGCTCTAAGCCTCTAAGCAACCTTAAACTAGGGTTGTCAGGAGTGGAATCTTGAGTTGTTGTCAAATTTAGAGCATGTTTGGCCAAGGTGGATGGAAGATTTTCGGAACCTTCACTGTTTGGAGCTGGACACTAATCGGAATCTACATGGGATTGGCAGGTGTTGCTTCCTTATCTCATGCCTGCAAGATCAAGCCAAACAAGGTTGTTGTGGCTGTTCTATGCCGTTTTCTTTGGCTCCTCTTTGAGGCTCAGACTCGTCGCATGACATGTGAGATGCTCAAAACATGCGAAGACCACTTAGTGAAGAGGGGTAGGTTTGTGCACAAAACCCAGCAAAACGATAAGGTTGACAGCAAAACCGATAACCCCAGCGCTGTACATGATCATCATGATCATAAGTATGCGGCGAACTCAAAACACTGTAAACCATAAGGTCCAATTCAAAACCGATGATGTCAATTTTTTAGTTGCAGAAGAATAAGGAGTTTTGATCGTCCCTCATGTCTTCACATTGGGTCTCCCGGATTGAAAACTACACACAACCTTTTGTTACTAGTAGCTTCTTGTTACTAGTAGTAATGGCCTCCAACCTAAATAGCGATGGCCTCCACCCAGTAGTAGCTTCTTGTTACTGGGAGCTGATTTCTCAACGTTCTCAATCAATGGGACCAGAGATGACTCGATGTCACTCTCCAGGATTTCATATCGACCAACTTGTAAGAGAGAGAGAGAGAGAGTATTCTCCAAATGCGGTGAATGCACCGTCACGTTGCCCTGGAAGGTGATGTTGCCTGTGTCCTTCTTGATCTTTGTTGTTGTTTGGCTGGTCTTGCTCCCAGCTGCGTACCAAACCTCTGGCACAGACCTGGGCTTGCTGTCACTACCAGCGCTTGCTGCCCACAATCTGAATGTGGTCTTCATGCTGATTGAAGCGCGCTTGAACCGGCTTTGCATGACATCCTTTCATTTGATTTTCATCTTCTATTATGGAGCTCTTTATGTGATTTTCTCATGGATTTTGTTCGGCATCAATCACAATTTCTTTTACTTCTTCATTGACTGGCGCTATCCTGTGGTCTTGATCGGCTACACTGGCATTCTCTCAATGCTCGCAGGCTTTTTCTTCATATGTCGTTGGATGGTGAATCGTATCTCGGCTATCAAATGGGTAAGACTTGTGAGAGGATGCAATTCCTCAAGCTATGGTGAATAGCAAAGCACACCCTTCTAATGTAAAAATCTAGAAGCCAAATCATTAGTGATGCGAGCGCTTCTTCAAGGAAGCTTTGAAGAAGCGTGAGCTATCCTGCGTCCAAAGTAGCTACTTGCAGCTACTAGCTACCTCTCCTCTCCCTACTAGCTACTTACCTCTAGCTGCTTCCTACCTCGACTCGCGGCCTACCCCCCCTAGTGTTACTAAGAGTGATACACCTTACTAGCAGCGAAGGGTGGTAGAGCGGCTCTTGCTCGCGTGACGTTGCTTTCGTGTTCGCAACCGTTTGAAGGCGATCGATAAGGCCGTGCTGTTGGGGAAAGCTTGTGGAGGAGGTTTTAGATGGACGCGTGAAGTGGCAGATTCGTGTGACATAGCACAGAAACGTAACATGTTGATGTGTGGAGGATGATTTTGTTTTACATGAGATCCTCAGCCACTGAGATTTGCGTTTCAGGCTGTTGCCTCGAAGCTGAGTTTTCGCGACAAGTCTCAGCTAAAATAGCAGAATTGGTGGATGTGAGTGTGCTCAGAAAGTTTCGAAATCGTTCCAAACGTGTGGTGTGGTGCAAACTTTGCTGAAGACATGAAGAGTGATATGTTATGTTGAACTCTCGTGGCAGGCGCGGGGAATCGTGAGGCTGTGATGTTTGGTGAAGGTGAATCTCGTTGTGCCGCTGGGACTGGTGTGTTGGCGGCTGTGGCTTTGAGGGGCTGGGACTGCGAAGCTGCTTCATCAGAGTGTACCACAAGAGTGTCTCCTACAAGAGTGTGCCCCAAGAGTATCAATGGTTGGCGGCTTGTTTTCGAGCGCGTGTGTGCATCCGGGTTCGTGGGGCCCATCTTGGGCCACTCCCGCCTAGGTGCGAAGCCGGAGGGGCTGCAGAGCGACTCGAATTTGCACAGCCCCCGAAGCGTGCCCTTAGCAGCTCGCTTCCAACGAGCATAAGACTCGCAGGGACAGGAGAGTGTGGCTAAAAGGCTATGGGGAGTGGTCAAAGCTTGCCTGGATGTTCTGTCAAGTGGATTGCCACCACAGCTGGTCACTCAGTCACGTCAATTCTGAGAAACTAGGCCTCTGAGTTGGATGCCCTCCCAGCTGCATTTGAACACCACAACACATCGCAAGGTCAGAGTGTGACTGCAAGCGACGAGAGTTGCCAGAATCGGATGCCCAATAGGATTCTCCTTTTTGGCATTGCTTGGACAGGAGACCTGAATTTTTGGAATCAACGATTCTGAAGGGAAAACATGGGAAAACAAATCATCAACCCTTTTGTGATCCTTTGTGCCATGGCTGCGCAGAGCCTTTTGAGGAACACCCCTCAAGGTTCAGGGCTTCACAGTTTGACATCGCACAGGACTAGTCTAATGCAAACTAAGATCTCTCGCCATAACTTTTGTCGAAACTTTCTCATGGGTGCCTTGTCAGGGTTCCACTTGATCTCCACTGCACTGAGAGGAACAAGTCAAACCTGAACACAACTTGCACGATTTTTCCGGCCAGCAAGGGTGGCCGCATGACTTGTACCACACTTCCACCCTTCCATTATGTTTTGTTTTTTACTTTTCGCGAAAGCTAGCTTTTGCTAGTTTTTGCAGCAAGGGGTTGGTGAGGACAGCTCCCGGAGCAAACCTCCAACAACTCGGACTTCACGATTTATTTTGGGAAAGACGTTGGTGGCCCAGCCTTGCATTCGATTCCGCCTGGTCGAATTGGTCCCGAGCACTCCACTAACTTTTGCTCACCCCCGCTGGTCTCAATTCTGGGATTTTGTTTTGAGACATTGCTCGCAGGATGCAGCATTTGTATCACTTGGAGAAAGAAGTCTGGTTACGGGAAGGTGCCACTTCTGACCACGTGACATTTTCGCAAGGATGCAAAAGCTCTTTGAAACATACAGTTCGATAAGGTTATACTGTTATATTGCCATGTCGCGCGAGCTCAGCCGCTGGTTTCGATCGTTAGGGAAAGCACAGCAGTGTGGAGGCCAAACATGGAGATGTGGCTACCTCTCCTTTTGCCATTTCTATGGGTTTCTTGGTTTTCTGCATCTCTGCACGTTCGTGATTGTGGTTTGCGGACTGGGGGAGGCTATTCTGACCCTGCAGTCCAAAGAGGCCAAAGACTTTTCCTGGGAAGACTGCATACCGTTTTCAAGGCTTTCTTTGTCTTTCACCGGCTAAGTTGATTGGGCCCTTTAGCTTCTTCTCCACAAGAGTATCTAAAGACCTCTAAAGACCAATCTCCCTTGTCCTCGATCAGCCATGGAGAACGCTACCAGTTCACCTGAGTATCCGCCAGATGCTGGAACCTGGGAGTTGAGCGCCGTGATCTACGTGGCCGTGTGTTTGTTCGTGCTCTTCGTGATCCACGGCTCCATGGAACGACGCGGGCGAATGAAATGGTCAAAGCTTCGCTGGGAGCACGTGGCGGAAAGCTCACGTGGCTGCTCCACCAGCTGTATGGCCGTTTGGCGGTTCTTCTGCTGCGTGCTGGTGATCCTCAATAATGTGGTCATGGTCTTTGTCTCGGATTCAGCCAGCAAACTCGTAGCTGGATACATGGCTCAACACATCAACTTCGTTCTTTGTTGTTCTTGTGTTGCCTTTTGGGCAACGATGACACTTTTCATGACTGACAGATGAGGTGGCTTTATCGTTTTTGCCACATTCACTGTATGGAGCTGGACTTTGATTGGCGTTTATATGGGACTCGCTGGAGCTGTTTCCTTGGCATCGGCTTGCAAGTCTACACCCCGCCAGGGCTGCGCAAGTGTGTTGCCTTGCCGTATCATTTGGCTTCTTTTTGAGGCAAGGCCCTCCCTCCAGGTAGCACTTCTTAGTTCAACTGTCCCCCATGCATTCAACCGGCAGCTATAGCTCAGCTATAGCATCATCAATTGAAAAGTCTACACACCTTGGGCTCCACCGGATACCCAGTTGGCAATGCCTGTCCACCCTTCGCCTCTTCCAAGTCCGTTTGAATTCAGTCTGAGTGATTTGCCATTATTACGAGATCCTTAGTTGCTCTCTACAAGTTTGGCTTCCTTCAGACATTTGCATTTGACATGTGTGAAGTGACTCCAAACTGTTGATGTCATCCTTAGCCATGTTCCCTAGCCATGCAGGTCATGTTGCCTGTTTCGTTCTTGATCTTCTTGCTGGTGTGGTTGGTCTTGCTGCCAGCAGCTTATCATACTTCGGGTACTGCGATGGGCCTCTTCACGCCTCCAGCACTGGCAGCTCACAACCTGAATTTTGTCTTTATGTTCATTGAGGCACTTGTGAACCGACTCTGCATCACCACATATCATTTGATATTTATCTTCTACTATGGTGGCTTGTATGTGATTTTCTCCTGGATCTTCTTCGCCTTTCAGCATTTCTTCTTCTACTTCTTCATTGATTGGAGATATCCACTTGTCTTGATCGGTTACTCGGGCCTTCTTTGCATGCTCACCACCTTCTTCTTCATTGGCCGATCCATCGTGAACTGCGTGAAACCGCCCTTGTACACCTGGGACCTGGATGAAAGTGAGAGCGAGGAATCGGAGTTGGAGAGTGCCAGTTGCACCGAGTAAAGGGCGAACGAGATGAATTCGTGTGCGAACGTGCTTAGAAGACAACACGTGTCACAGGTGAGTGTTTGCCTGGCTTCGTCATGTGGTTACAGAGGTCAACTACAAAGGTTCTCCCACTTCCAGTTCTCAATGACTTACAGTAAAACTGCCCTGCTCGTTCTGCAGTAGACCTCTTGATTCGCAGGAAGAAGAGCGGGCAAAGAGGTATCAGGATGAAAAGTTTGCCAGGGATGAGGCAAGGTGGTGACGGGCCACGGGTTCTTGTGCAAACTGGTTGCACATCGACTTTCAGTCCTTTCTTTCAGTTTTCAGACCGTTTGCTTGATAAGCATCTCCCGGGAAACAGCACTTCTCCCCAAAATGGATGATCTTCAGTTCTGGGCAACAAGCAGTTCCGAAAGAGGTTTGTCTTACTTTCAGTTGGGGTTTGAGACGCAAACTCCTCGTTCTTTGGGGAAACAGGGAGGATTCAATCTCTAACAGCCCTTGTTTGCAGGCAGCCTTCCAAGAGAAGTGTGCCCGGCCTCTTTATTTCAGATCACCGCTTGGAACATGAATGAGCTTTCAGAACTTTTGTGCCAACCAGCACAGGCCCAAAAACCATAGCATGGGGGGATCGCATGGGAGGGAAATCATTGAGACTCGTTGCAGAACATGTCAATGTCGCTTTGATGGTAAGACTTCCTCCTATATTTTTTGGAGCTTTAGAAGTAAGCCATAGTGAGCCTAGCAGCCTAACAACCAATGAAGATGCTCTTCAATGCTCTTCTGCCCGCTTGGTGGATCAGCTGATGCGCATCAGCTTGCACCGCCATGTGGTTGTGGGCAGCTTCATTCCCTACAGGAGAGCCACCCAAGTAGTCATTTCTTGCAATCTGTTTCTTGCAATCTGAGATGAGTGTGTCTCTGGGAACTTCTTTGCGATGATACTTTGCGATTGGTAAAAACCTCAGAGATGCAGACGATAGAATGATCGGCCAATACACGTTGGGAGGGTCAGTTCCGGGGCCTGGCTGCTTTCCAGGCCCACAGCGGGTCAGTGGATGAAAATCGCACAGGAGGCGTTCGTTCAAGCTCGCCTCCAAGAAAGCGACCTCGCCGACTCCTCAGCGAGGCTTTGTAGATTGGCCTCGTTCACGGCAGTCTCCATTTTTCTGGAGCTCAACCCGAACCACAGCCAAATACATCCAAATTCAACCAAATACCCACAGATGCTAACTGCTAACAGTTACACTGTACGTCCCATTTTCAGAAATGCACAAGGCTGACATGGCAAGGAAAGAAGAATGTTCCTTTTGCGAGCCAGCAACTTTTGATATATCACAGTCTATATCTATATGGCACTGTGATTCAGGCTGTGCCTCTCCAGCTCACCCACAAGCTGCCACCGTGCAGGCCTATAATGTTTACCCCAAGGGTCAGGATGACAAAATCCTTTGCACCCTAGTCAAAGTTGTACTTGTACCCATGGAAAACAAATGGCTTGCATTTCCCGCGCGTTTTGTTTTTGCAGGTCACTTCAATTTGCTTTGACCCTGAGTATGACAAGTGGATGGGTGCCCTAGCAGCTGGAGGCCATTTAGCCATAGAAGCTTGGGATGTGGAGGACCGGACGCCATACGAATCAATCAGAATCAATGCGTCGATGGAGTTCGGCTCCAGGAGCTGGACACATGTGATATGGAGGTGGATTTGACAGAGAATCTCACTGAGATGCATTCTGAGCGGCGAAGATATGCGGCAGAAAGAAAGAACAGTGAGCAACTGGGGCAAGTCGAGTGGCTTACCAACACTTCCACCAGTCTTTCTGTTTAATGTACTGTAACTTTTTGGATTGTGAAATTTGTGGAGGCATCAAGACATGGCATAACTCAGAAGACAAACACACTCGTCCTTGCTTTTCTCCGTTGGACATGCCAGGAAGAAGCAGCTAAAACAGATGCAAATGGACGGAGCTCCTTGCCACATCCGAGTTGTCGCAGAGCCTTGCATTCCAGAAAAGTCAATACTTAGATAAGAAGAAAGGGTTGGGCGGGACACTAGATTGACTCCGGGAAAGGAGATGGGCTGGTCGGCCAACGAATGGGTTTCTGTGATATTTGACTGTGTGAGGTAGCCTTCCTCACCAGGCAGCTAGAAGAACAAGCAAATGTGAAGGCAGGGCAGTGCCATGGATGTGACATAAGGCAGCACGAGTACACCCACGCTCGTATGCTCGCATGCTCCCACGCTCGATCAGTCAGAAATTGTCCACAGTCCTGTGTTGTGGAATAGGTCTTGCAGGATTTTGGATCTGCATGTTCCGTCTTCTCAATTTACAGCCTTCGGCATGCCGCCGGCCATCAGCAAGCTCGAGCCCGCACGGCTGGTCGCCATGGCCCGGGCGTGTGTAGCTGTGTGTAGCTATTGTGTTTTTTTGTGCGCTGGTTATGCAAAGGTTAGCTAACAGAGTGTACGATATCAAAGTGCGTGAAAACAAGGGGTTTGTGCGCGACATGACTTGGAACATGCACGCTGGCTGGAGATGTTTGTGTCAATGAGGTGCGGCGTCAAAACGAAGTAGTGTAAGAGCCATGTAAGTGGAGAGCAACTGGCCAAAAAAACAAAAGCTGCGCTGGTGTAAAAGCGAGTGGGCAGCGAACAGTACTTGCAGAGAGCGCGTGTGTAACACAGAGCTTCTGCAAAAGTGACGTGTAAGCGAAAAAAAGTAGCGAGGAAATGGTTGCAAGGGGCTTGTGCGCGACATGACTTGGAAGGTGCACAGGGTGCGGTGTCAGAACGAAGTCGTGTAAGAGCCATTGCCTAGAATAACGCCGTGACAGTGTAAGCGATATAGAATAGAACCCAATTGGCAGCAAGTTCCCGCAAAACGCGTGGAAAAACCAAGGTTTTTATACGTTTTTCTACACGCGCGACTGTGCGCCAATGGGGCGGAGCCTCGTCTGTACACGCGGAATTTCCCTCGAATGTACACGCGGAGAATTGATCTCGTTTGCGCACGCGAAACTCGGATGTGCACGCGGCTTCCTCGGCTGTACACGCGGCTTACACGGCTAAAAAAATGAATGAATGAATGAATGAATGGAACCCGACCAGATTGTTTCACAATCTGAACCTTGTTGTCTCATTTTACGTCCATCGCTTTAGATGCGCTGTTTACCCCCCCCCCCCCCCCCCCCCCCATCCCAACCCAACATCATCAATCAAACGCAGAGCGTCTGTGTGACGTGAACCTGTGGAAGCAATGAGCAAAAAGAGATCATCATGTAGATGAATGTCCAGAGGGACGTTATTAACACATCATCAATCAAACGAAGCAATGAGCAAAAAGAGATCATCATGACTCAATTTGTGTGTGCGCAAATGAGGCGAATCATGTGTGCGCATTTGAGTTTGGGGTAACATGGGCTGTTTAAAGAGGAATGTAATCGATGTGTGCGCAGATGAGGCGAATCATGTGTGCGCATTTGAGTCAAATATATAAAAAAGTCTGTGTGCAGATTTGAGGGGAATTATGTGTGCGCAAATGAGGCGCCGTCCGCGCCAATGCATGGCCTGCTTGAAAAAGACGAAGAGGGGGAAGAGAAGAGAAGGAGAACGAGAACGAAAAGAGAAGAGAAGCGAAGACAAGAGACGAGACAAGGCGACAAGACAAGACAAGGCGAGAGGGGGGTAGGAGCGCCTCAACATTAAAAGACGAAAAATGAGTTGGGAAGATGATTTTCATTACTAAAAATACGAGCACCTCAACATTAAAAGAGGAAAATGAGTTGGGAAGATGATTTTCATTACTAAAAGTACGAGCACCTCAACATGAAAAGAAGAAAAATGAGTTGGGAAGATGATTTTCATTACTAAAAGTAGGAGCGCCTCAACATTAAAAGACGAAAAATGAGTTGGGAAGATGATTTTCTTTATTGAAAGTACGAGCACCTCAACATTAAAAGAAGAAAAATGAGTTGGGAAAATGATTTTCTTTTATTAAAAGTACGAGCACCTCAACATTAAAAGAAGTAAAATGAGTTGGGAAGATGATTTTCTTTATTGAAAGTACGAGCACCTCAACATTAAAAGAAGAAAAA